CTCTGTACCCTGTTCAGTTTGCCACAGCCTCACCCTAGAGGCTGCCACCCTTCTGGATTCTTCCCTCCCAGTAAATCTTTGAATGAGGTTTGGATGATGATCTCCCTTCCCTGGAGTGGAGCAGAGCAGAGAAGTATCAATTTTCACCAGAGACAGAGGGAGAGCTAGCAGAGTAGAACAGAACTATAACACTTTCACTGGGGGAACCTTCTCCTAGTGGAGCAGAGCTGTTACATTGTGGAGCAGAGTTGTTATACTGTAGAGCAGAGTTATTACATTGTAGAGCACAGTTGTTACATTGTGGAACAGAGTTGTTACACTGTAGAGCACAGTTGTTACATTGTAGAACAGAGTAGTTACACTGTAGGACACAGTTGTTACACTGTAGAGCACAGTTGTTACATTGTAGAGCACAGATGTTACACTGTAAAGCACAGATGTTACACTGTAGTTCACAGTTGTTACACTGTAGAGCATAGTTGTTACACTGTAGAGCACAGTTGTTACACTGTAGAGCACAGGTGTTACATTGTAGAGCACAGTTGTTACACTGTAGAGAACAATTGTTAATTGTGGAACAGAGTAGTTACACTCTGGGGGGACCTAAGCAGAGTTGTCACATTGGGGAAACCTTTCCCTGAAGCAGAGGTGTAAAGTGCTGAGCTTACAGTGACTTTGTGGTATTCCTTGGCTCCCGACTGCCAGGATACCTTTTCGTCTGAGCTGTAATGCTTATATCTACAATACCAGTGAAAGCAGACTGTTAACCTAATACAATGCTCATTTCAGATAGCTTGTCTAAGTTTGTCTACCCAGCCTAATTCAGATGTTGAAACAAAACCCTTGACCATTATGCCCCTTGCTGTTGAATATTACCCTAACAGTGTCCCACATGGGAATACTTTGTGCTTTATCTTCTTATCTCTTGTGATTGAGCTCTTTTTAATCCTCTCACTCTTTAGGGACACATTTATTTTCCCAGCCTCTGTTCTCACATTCAGACTATTTTTTCAGAGGGCGTATATTCCAATGCCGTTTTCTTGGTCTCATCATTGTTAAGCCCTCAGTAGCCATGTTTGTCTGAACTCCTTGTCACCCTGTCACTTGGGGCCATGGAGTGAAACCTGTCTTCCTTTTCTCACCCAGTTCTGTTATTTCCATTCACAAAACCAGTTCACTCTAGGTGTGAGTTGGCGGCAATATCTGTAGTCTTTGATGTGCACATGGCTCTTACTCAGACAGCACCCTTTGCCTGAATAACAAATGTCTTAACTTAAGCAGACGTAGCGGGGGAGAAAATCACTACCCATGAAGAGTTTAGGGGGTGGGCCTTTTACTATCGAAGGACCCAGAGGTATGCATAACAGGCCTAACTTTCTTCACACAGTGGGCTGTGCCTAATGTAACTCTTCTCTGGCTAGTCCAATCCTAGCTGATAGATCCTTCCCACCCTCCCTTCCTTCCCCTGCTTGGTCATTCAATCAGACTGTTCAGCTCCTGATTAGACTGGCCCAGGTCAGATCACTTGCCATCCCTGAGTCAACAACTCTCAGCAGAGGTGTGGGACCTTCTAATTGCAGAAGCTTGGCACCTGTGTGTCCTTGGACTATGCACATGACACCCAACCTTTCAGGACTTAGGTGAGGGGAGGCACAGAGCACCGTTCACATGGAAACCAGGATGCTGACAAGGGAAAGGGAATAGTTGCTAGTGAGGTGAAAATAACTGGTATCTGCTACAGCTTCCTTGGGCTGCCTGGCCTTCCTGAGCTCTGGTTTCTGTGTGATTGGAATTTGAACCTTACCATTGGTCAAGAACACTATGGAACACTTTCACTTAATATTCATGACCACAGCGTGAGCCAGGGTGCTGCACTGACTTCCTCACTCCCAGAAACGTGGTAAAAAAAAAATGCTTGCTACTCCTTTCTATTCCTCTTGCTTACTAATGCTAGCTACACCCTAAGAAAGGTCTTTGGCAAAGTGTGTTGGTCACCTTCTCTGCTGACCTCTCATTCCTTACCCCCAGATTCCGGGTGTCCCCTTTGGTCTCAAGCTAGCTACGCCCTAAGAAAGGTCTTTGGCAAAGTGTGTTGGTCACCTTCTCTGCTGACCTCTCATTCCTTACCCCCAGATTCTGGGTGTCCCCTTTGGTCTCAAGGCTTGGCTCCACTCCAGGGCTTTCTTGGTGCTGCCATGGCTCATCTCTGTGCAGTGGAGGCATATTTGGTACCTACCTATTTGGAATCCTACCTCTCTGGTAGGATTCTGGTCATGACCGTGTATTGGTCTCACCGCAATACAGTTTGACCCTCGTGGTGCTGTGTGACTTACTAGCTAAGTCACATTGCTCACGATGCTTAGCTCACCAACATTCAGCTGCATTTTGACTTCCTAGCAAGGTTATGAGGGTCTTTTGAATAAATGTGAGCAAAGCCTGCCACGTGGGCAGTGGGCAGTAAGGGAGATGATGATTGGAGACACATCTGCAGAGGCCCAGCCTTCTGCTTGAGTTCCTAGAAATTCCCCCTCCCATTTGTCATTCCTTTGACTTTATTTGTTCTGACCCAGTGAGTTCTTCATGAGTTCATTACCTGTTTTTTTGTATTAACTGAGTGCACACTAAGTATGTAGATTATTCATTGGCCGTCAAACAAGAATGTAGGTAGGTGGCATTTATGGTTCTGTTGGACAAATGGGGAAACTTAGGCTTAGTGAGGAAAAGCAACAGTTTGCCACAGAGCTGTGGAGACAAACCTGAGCTGCAGGTCTGAAGTAGCCCAGTCATCTGGTGTTTATTGAATGAATGTTCTAGAAACCAGAGTGTGCCCAAGTACATGCGTGTTCAGTGCATGTACTCAGAGGCCTCGGACTCTCACCTTCAGAGGTCAAGCGATGGTTCTGAAGGGACCAGAATAAGCTGCAGGTAGAACAAGACCTCAGAGTGGCATCTGCAGCTGGGGTCTCCAAACTCCTTTCTCCTTCTCCAATCGAGAACACGCAGCCTCTGTTGCCAGGTACCGGTTGCTCTCTCCTTCCTTCCTCCCTTTTCAGACACTTCCTTAACCATTTGAGCACTTTGAACATGTGTGGAGAGGGTCTGTACCACATTGTTTATCTTAGGACTTCCTGTGTACAACACATGTAACAGGAGCTCAGTCAGTGTGGTTTGGTTATTTTTGGTGGATTCTCATGGAGTCCTCTTTGGTTACTTTGGCTTCCTTCAGTGAGGCTGTAGTTACTTAACAAAAGGAGCTGGTCTTCTGTTTCCTTCATGTTATCTGAGAGCTCCTCACATTTAGTAGATTCTCAATGAAGACCACCAACTCATCCAGTTTTAAATAGGAGATGTTTAATCCATATTTGCTGATTTAATTAGCCCTTCGACATTTATCATGATTCTTTCATAGGTCGAAGGATTTTTCAGAAGTGGAAATCTTTTGAACCTTTACACTTTGGTTTCTCCTTTAAATGGTCATAGTAGAGAAGCAAAGCAAAACAAAACAAAACAAAACAAAAAACCCCTCGACTTTAGCCCCAGAGGTAAAATATTTAACTACTCAACATTCTTTGTTTTGCATAAAGAAATGTTTAACCAAGATTTCTCAGGTCCATTCTCAAAACAAATGTGCACATACAAATAGGTAAAGTAAAGCATTCTTCCCACAAAAGGCACCGGTTTGAGGGGACTAGGGATTCCTTTGATTGTTTTTTGGAGCTCATGTTGTTTTCTTCTGCAGAGCTTGGACCTGCCTGAGTGAGGGCTTCATCCTGTGAGATAGGAGTCATGGTCACTGGTCCTCGGGGAGATACTTCCTGTCATTGCACAGGTTGCTGAAAATGGAATCATCAAATTAATCGCTTGCCTATAAGAAATTTGTGATCTAATTGGAGCGACAATTAATCTGCACAAATGTAACAGAGTAAATGTTGGGTTCCCCAGCATCTTAAGGTTCATCTAGTTTGAACTTCTCAGTTTTAGGTAAGGAATTGGAAAGGTAGACTCTAGAGTTGTGGGTTGTGGCCAAAGTCTTAGAGAGCGTTGCACGTTAAAGACACAATCTGATTTTGTTCACCAATCCCCTTTCTCCTATATATAGGCCTTTTGTAAACCATAATAAAACCTAAACTTGGAATTTTTGAAAAGGAAAAATATAATTGCCTTTCATTAGAATGTTAGTGACCTGATGGGGTTTGGCCAGAATGGAAGGCTTGTCCCTGAAAGGTGCTATCGGAATGACCACAGCAGAACCATGTTCAGAAAGCTGACTCTCGTGGTGATGGCTATATGAGCCATTCAGTGTCAGGTGGTGGGGGGGAGTAAGGTTCAGGGTCTACAGAGGGCAGGCCAATGAATATATAATCCAAGTCACAAATTCAAGCTGCTAAATTCTAGTAGCCACAATAAAAGAGGAAAACAGAAACAGGCAATGCTGATTTTAGTAATGTTTTATTTGATCCCTTATCTCTAGACTTTCATTTCAACATGTAATGAATTTGAACAAAAATAAGTTTACTTTGGCTCTTGTGTGTTAAGCCTGACAGCACACCTCAAATGTCTAAGAGTGACAAGTGCCCGGCTTTTATATAGGACAAATGAGATCTAGAGGCACTGGCCACTGGATGAGTGGGAGGGTGGCAGAGGGCCAGCTGCCTTGGCCTGCCTGGGAGTTATTAGGGAAAGCTTCTCAAAATTGAATGCAAGCTGAACTAGCTTGCGGGTCTGATTAACATGCAGGTTCCACTCACAAGCCTGGGCTGTTGTGGGATTCCGAGTCTCCAACAAACTTCCACCTATGCCGTTCCCACACTGAGTTGCCAAGTTGATCTGGAATGTCTACCCAGCGGAGAAATGGAAACCAGCAGGGAAGATTTAAATGGTCAATAAGCATTTTTCAGCAGGTAGAAATGTTTCTTTTCACCTAATTCCTTGTCCCAGGAAATAGGAACTTCTTCTAATCCTGCCTGCATCACCAGTGAAGGCTGCTTCCTAATGCTGTGCACTCCCACGCCTGAGGACAGAGTGGGGATGCATCTGATGGGAGAGATTGGGCGGTGGTTCTGTCAGTGAGGAGCCTGATTTCCCCTGCCTTCTTCAGCTCAGAGCCGCCCATCCTCACACCCAGGCATCTTCTTGTCTTTCCCTCCCTCTCTGAAATGGTGCCTCAGGGAGGGTCCCCATCCAAGGTTTCAGAGACCAGCACATGGCAGCAGCGCCATCAATGAGTAGAGAAGGGAAGAATGGTTCCAGAAATGTTGGGAAGATGATAAATGGTCATCCACACACAAAGGGACAGAATCAGAGCCATGACTCCAACTGTACACTAAAGCAAACCCCAAGCAGGTGCAGACCTTCAGCATGGCTTATAGCATCCTAAATGTTTAGAGCAAAACATGCTATCCTGAGTCAAGGACAACAGGATCTCAGCATTTTAAAGGAGATGTTGATAAATCTGATTAGTTTACAATTGAAAACACCAAAAGACAACTCAAAGGGGTCAAGTGACAAGTTGTAGACATCTGGAATGTGTGACCTCTTGTGTTGCCATGGCGATGACATCACACTCTGACATTGAAGGACTCCAAAGTTCCCAGCTGGCCTGCTAGGAGCTTTCTGAACTTAGTTAACTGGCCCAAATAGAAGGAAGCTCAAGGAATTCAGTGTAAGTGCTCTGAATCAGAGGAACTGTGAGGGAACATGGAGTGACTCCAGTTATGCCTCCGACGTCTGCCTAGAACCTTTAGTGTCTTTGGTACCACATTCTACAGTATTGCACTCATGCTCACACACGGGAGGACTCCAGCTTTTCAAGCATGTGCACTGGACTCCCAAACTTGCTGAGTTTTGCATTTTCCATAAGAAATCACTTCTCAGCCTTTCCTCTAAGCACGTTCTCTCTGAGATCTGTATTAACAATTTATTATGTCTTTCCATATTTTCCCCAAAGCTCAGATAATTCTAAGACATCTATGTATCTACACATGTATCTAATTATATGGATTTGGGCCTTCATTCAGTTCTGTGGGAAAGCTATGTAGCATAAATAAATTCAACAGCACTAATATCTATACATCAGAAAGAAACTTTTGTCTCTATATAAGTTCACATGGAAAGGGAAGTGCTTGCAAGGATCTTCACCCCTGTATCGTTTATGACAAAAATAATTTAGAATGGGCTGCAGAAGAAACTGTAGTCTATTCAGAAAATGAGGTGGATGTACTAAACAATATATTACCTAGATAAGCAAATATAACAATGTGTATATGATATCTGCTACTGGGATGTTTACAGCAAAAAATATTATAGAGTACTCTATTGTTAAGTAACAGCATAAGCTTAAAGAAAAATGAAAGCAGAAAACCAGGCATTTAAGCAGGAAAGGAAGGAAGGGAGGGAGAGAGGGAGGGCGGAGAGAGGGAGGAGGGAGGGGAACGCTCATGGAGATCTGGTGCTGATAGAATGCCATAGCTGCCTCCATGTTTCTTTTCCTGCTTTCTGCATGCTGAGACCACATTCTGTTTTGTTGCAATGCATGAAGCTTGGATTCAAAGCTCTAGGCTAGCTGCCCACAGTCCTGGTTCATGGTGAACAGCTCTGAGACTGGACAAAAGGTTCTTTACCTGCGCTGGTATTAATAAAGCTCCTGGTTATCATGAGAATGGGAGAGCTGGCCCTGCACCCCTTGTCTGCTCTGTGGTGGCAAGGGGGAAGGAAAGATGCCCTCCACCCCTAGCCTCTACCTGCAGCAGGTGAAAAAATTGACCCTGCCCCTCACTGGGTGAGATCTGGCCCCACCCCCATCTGCCATACAGTGGAGAGGACCCCTCCCCCACAGGCCTTGCTGCCTGTAGCAGGTGAGAGAGCTGTCCCTGAGGTCATGAGAGCCAGAGGTGGCTCAGCAACTGTGGCACTTGGCAGAGTGGCCCCAGCACCTTGCCTGGGCAGCACAGTAGAGCTGTCCCTGCTGGTGGGGTTTCAAGAGACCTGGCCCTGAAGATCAGAAAGAGGGAGAGCTAGCCGACGGTCTGTCACTCAGTGGTGTGGGTGAGGAAGAGATACCTCCTTGCCCCTTCGCCCTTCACCACATACTCTAGGTAGGAAAAGCTGGTTGTGGGGCCTCGAGCATGGGAACGCTGATCCAGCCCCTCACTGGTGGCAGCACTCAGGAGAGCTGACCCTGGTGGTGTAGGTATAGGTGAGCCAGCCCCAAGGTGTGAGAGCTGGAGAACCGGGCTCCCTTCCCTGCTGCCAACTGTATAGGGTGAGCTAGCTGGGATGGTGCTGGAGAGCTCATCCTGGTGTTGCGGATGAGCGAGAGTTGGCAGGCGAGCTAGCAAGCACCAAGGCTATGAGTTTTCCTATCCCAACATCTACCCCAGGTATGGTCTGCTGGAGCAGGTGAAGGGGCCGATCCTGCACACCCAAAGTTCAGGATCTCCATGACACAGGGCAACAACAGGATATCCAAGAGGAGCCCCAGTGAGGGCCCATGATCCATAGAAGCCAGAGGCCTCCAACAAGACCGATGTCTCATTGCAATGACCACTTGTAAGTAAAGATAACAGACTGAAGGATATACTGTGTGACTCACTGTGTCAAACTACAGCTTCCACGATGAGGTTTTTCTTTTCTTTTGGATTTTATTTTGTTTTATCTTAGTGGGTGGGGAGGTTGCAGGGGCAAAGGGTGAATGCGAAGGGTTAGAGATGCATGATGTGAAATCTACAGAGTCAATAAAAAGTTAAATTAGGAAAAAAAAAACCTTCTGGTTAGCCTGACGTAGGTCAACATTGTGCTGAGCACTGCAGATAGAATATTAGTTTTAATTCAAAATATGAGTTGAGTGGGAGAAGGAAGAAGAGCGTTGTCTCCTCAGTGTTATGGAATCTATTGATAATTATATATTGATCAGAAGTAAATTGTCCAAATATCTTCAATGACATTATGTGTCTTTATCAGGGTAGTGGCATGGCAGTCTGCTTGAGGATAGATTTTATAAATGCCTTTGAAGCTGATGGGTAAGTACATGGTGGGAACACTTAGAGGACTGAGTGTCATTGACGATCACCATGGAAACAAGGCCGATCAAAACAGCTGCTCTCTGGTCACTGTGACTCCCTTCACTTCAGTGTTCTCTGGAAGCACGGTGCCCAAAGCAGCACACGTGGGCTGTGTGGCCTGGACTTGTGATGACAGCCAGTTGCCTCAGGGGTAGACCCCCAACTCAAGCTGGGAAACTAAGGTATCTCCTTAGAAACTGGAATCTGGGGTTTGGAGCCAATAAATCACTGAAGCTGGGGCCATGAAGTACAGGTCTACAGTGAGACTAGGATTGCAGGGGGTGGCTCAGGGGGGAGAAGGAGAGAAAGGAGAGGAGGAGGAGGGAGAGAGGGAGAGAGGGGGAGGGAGAGAAGGAGAGAGGGAAGGGAAGAAGGAGAAGGGGAGGGAGAAAAGGAGAGAGGGAGGGAGAGAAGAAGAGGGGAGGGAGAGAAAAAGAGGGGAGGGAGAGAAGAAGAGAGGGAGGGAGAGAGAGGAGAGGAGAGAGGGAGAGAAAAGGAGAGAGGCAGGGAAAGGAGGAGGGAGGGAGAGAAGGAGAGAGGGAGGGAGGGAGAGGAGAGAGGGAGAGAGAGAAGGAGGGAACACAGGAAAGAGGGAGGGGAAAGACACACACACACACACACACACACACACACACACACACACACACACACACACACGGATTTCTTTTCCCCTCCCTGTCCCAGGCTGGGCTACGTGCTTGCTGGAAGATTCACACACTATAACTCATCAGTCCCTTTGTTTGAGCTAGCTTGAAATGATAGAGGAATTTAGAGAAGTTAGATCAATACGCAATTCTAGAAGAATTTAAATATTTGTAAATTGTGGTTATACTGTGTTCCCCCAAATATTGTGCACCCTAATAAACTTATCTGGGGTCAGAGAACAGAACAGCCACTAGATAAAGAGGCCAGAAAATAGTGGTACACACACACCTTTAATCCTAGCATTCCTAAGGCAGAGATCCATCTGGATCTCTGAGAGTTCAAAGCCACACTGGAAACAGCCAGGCATGGTGACTCACGCCTTTAATCCCAGGAAGTGATGTCAGAAAGCAGAAAGGTATATAAGACTTGAGGACCAGGAACTAGAGCTGGTTAAGCTTTTAGGCTTTTGAGCAGCGGTCAGCTGAGATCCATTTGGATGAGGACGCAGAGGCTTCCAATCTGAGGAAACAGGATTAGCTGGCAAAGTGAGGAAGCTGTGGCTTGTTCTGCTTCTCTGATCTTCCAGCGTTCACCCCAATAACTGGCCTTGGGTTTGTTTTTATTAATAAGACCTTCTAAGGTTCCTGCTATAGTAAATTCAAGGACTAACAAGTGCCGATAAGAAGTTAAAACTCTTATGCAATTTGTCTGTTGTAGTTGATGCCACTTTCATGGTTCTAGGCAGTAGACAATGTATTTGACAAAATAAATTTAAAAGTATAATTTCAGGTGAAATGTTAAATATATATAAAACAGTGCTCTCTGATATATTTCTCTGCTAAGAAATAACACAATAACCATATTCTGAAAAATTCCAGTTTTTCGATAATGCTACCCCTCTCCACCCCAAAGATTTTAATCTATCTAAATATCTTTAAAGATATAATATTTAGTTTTTAATACTGTTGAACTTTGTATAAATGGACTAATGCCCAGGCTTCTACAAACAACTTTTATGTCTCATTTTGTGTCATTTATGTCTCATTATGTCTCATTCTGAGGAATTAATTTTGATGTGTATAAATATAATCACTCATTTCCACTGGTGTATAATATTCTCTTTTAACAACTATTACACTTTATGCTCTCTTTTCATAACCAGTGTGTGTGTGTTTGTGTGTTTGTGTACATGTTCCTGTGCGTGTTCACACGTGTGGAGGCCAGAGGACAGTCTGCAGAGTTTTTCCTCAGGCGCCATTCTTTTGGGACCTAAGTTTTTGAAGGAACTTAGTTGGCCTGTGTCTTGCTGAGTAGCCTAGGCTTTTCTCTGTCTCTGCCTCTCCCACCTCAGTGCTGTGATTACAAACAAGTGTGACCTGGCCAGCTTTTGAAACAATCCTACAAAAACGTATTTGCAAGAAAGTATATCTAATAAATGGCAGATGAACAGAATCAAGAAGGCCACTTACATTTTAATTACCAGAAGACTAATGGGCAAAAGACCAGCAAAACGAAGAAAAAAATAGACTGGGCACAGTCCTCTCTCTCTGTATTTCTGTCTCTGTCTCTGTCTCCCTCTCCCTCTCCCTCTCCCTCTCTTTCACACACACACACACACACACACACACACACACACACACACACACACACACACACTTGGTCTTATCATCAGAATCCTTTGGCAAACTTGATCTTCATGGAGTTTACATTCCAATCTGAGGTCTAGAGAGGTAAATTGTACTTCATTCAGTGACTGACGAATGCTAGGGATATTAAATCAGAGTACAGGACCAGGAGATGCCAAGCTGGGGAGGATTGAGCCCTAGAAAAGGCCTCCCTGAGAAGGTGGGTATTTGAAAGAAAAATGATATTAAAAATAATAAAATAAATATTTAAAAAAAATAAAAATACCTCCAGCATGTTATTCTAAATGATGTATTTTAACTATATAAAAATTCTTGTTTCTCCACATCCTTGCCAATATTCTTTTTATGTTTTAGTTTGCCAATTGGTTCAAATAAAATTTAATCTCCTTTTTTTATGTAAGGATACTCATCAACTACCTAATCTGTACTTGGGAAATGATGAAAAAGACAGACAAACAAAATTAAAATGTCCCAAACTTGATCTTCATGGAGCTTGCATTCCAATCTGAGGTCTAGAGAGGTAAATTATACTCTTTAGACCTCAGATTGGAGTGACCGACGACGACGACGACCAATGCTAGAAATATTAAATCAGAGTACAGGACCAGGGGATGCCAAGCTGGGGAGGATTGAGCCCTAGAAAGGCCTCCCTGAGAAGGTGGGTATTTGAATAGACACAGGAAGGAGGTGAGCAGAAACTATGGGGATGCTGTTTTGTTTTCTTCGTCGGATCATGTAGGGTTCAGTCAGGGATGCAGAGCTGTCGTCCGTCCCTTGTTCCCCGTTTCCATGCCTGCTTTTCCAGAAAGCAGTTTTGGTGTTTGTAATTATGCCTCTGTCTGTATTCTTTAATCTGCCCCATTGGTCTTATTGTGTTTACCTTAACACTGTAATATTTTAATATTACAACATAAAAGTGTAAAATCTAACATGACACTTCACAGTTTCTGT